CAAACTCAATTCCAACATAATCTTTCACAAATTGACTGAGACATGGCAGATATACAAGAATCAAATATAAAGCCGTGAAATTACACAAAACAAACATACAACCAAAAGAAAAATGTATAAAATTGTCAGTTTAAATATATTGAAAGCCACATTTCATGTTCGTATATGGTTTTTTGTCTGAGATTTATTTTTTGTAATCTGTCTCTCTCTAGTGGTGCAAAACGGGAAGTGTCAAATTCTTACTTTTCTCATCCAGTTCTGCAGGCGAAGGAACATAAATGTTTAATATTTGATTAAACCGGTGCTTCATTTTCATGGTTCACAAGAACAACAATGAAACTATAGTTTTTCTCTGTGCTTAAAGCTGTAAACCAAACCCTCATTTCAAACATCATCTACTCACAGTCAGTGCAGTAATGTAAGGCACATTTGCATGGATTTGTTGGCAGTAAAATGTATTACGAAGACCCAGCCTTCAAAGCAAGCTCTTGAACACTGATGCCACTAATGATAAGCTTCCCGCGGCTGTTTACAGAGTTTAGTAAATGCCTATTAGTGGCTGCTTACAGGCATGACTGCAGGGCCTGAAGCCCCCTTAACCTTGTTTAATCACTCTCCAAGACCAGTCAAAACACAAATGATCTGCAGATCCCAGATCTGACACGTCCAAATAATCATTGCTCAGTGACAAGCGTGACTGACCCTGGGACAGTTTAAAACAGTCCACATCAGCAATGGCAATCAAAGCATTTTACTCTGATCTCTGTCCTACCTCTCAAGTTTCACATAAAAAAGTGCATGTGGGTCTAGGTTTTAACACAGGCCTCAGGGATTATAAGAGGCCCTGCAGCAGGAAAGCACAATGCCATAAATGTGCAAATGTAGATGTTTAGTGTATGCATAGGATCCTGTTAAACATTAAGGGCTAGCTTAGACCAAACCGGTTATCATTTACTCACCCTCATGTTGTTGCAAACTCATAAAACATCATTGTTCATCTTCAGAATATCTGAGGGATTTGTTTCCCTCATTGAAAGTCTGTTCACCCAAGACTTCAGTGCTTTAAAACATTCATGAAGAGATTTTGATATAATATCCACATTGATAAAAGTATTAAAATTTATTAGAATATTTTATACCATAAACTATATAAAATTAATTATATTCATTCATTCATTTTCTTTTTGGCTCAGTCCCTTTATTAATCAGGTCTTGCCACTGCGGAATGAACTGCCAACTTATCCATTATATGTTTTACGCAGTGGATTTCATTAGCTGCAACCCATCACTGGGAAACACCCATAAACTCTCATTCACACACACTATGGACAATTTAGCTAACCAAATTCACCTATAGCACATGTCTTTGGACTAGTGGGGGAAACCGCACAGCCAGCAACTAAAATGGAATAATAAAATAAGACTGCACAACACATTCAAAATAACAGAACGTTTTTTTTTCTTGGACACATAACATGGTAACATCAGTAGCTTTAGACTGCAAATCACATTTTATTTTATGTATTGCTTGCTTTAATTCTTCTTTACTTTGAATTTTTAATTAGACAAATATGTAAATGTGTAAATTTAATAGTATAGAAAATTGAAGTCATTGCATTTGGGAACAGAAATTAGTTTCTCAAGGTGAATGTGTGCCTTGACTCTAAGGGTTCAAACGACAAAAAATAAGGTCAAGAATCTTGATGTTATTCTAGAGGCAAATATGAGTTTCAGTATCCATGTCAAAGCAGTTAGTAAATCAGCATAATATCATCTCAAAAACATTGCAAGAATTAGATGCTTTGTTTCCAGTGAGGATTTAGAAAAACTTGTTCAAGCTTTTATCAGCTGCAGGGTGGATTACTGTAACAGCCTCTTTACTGGCCTGACCAAACGGACAGTCGGTTGCAGTTCATCCAGAACGCTGTGGCCAGGATTCTAACCAGAAACAGGAAATCAGAGCACATCACACCTGTCCTACGGCCTTTACACTGGCTCCCAGCTACATTCTGAGTAGATTTTAAAGAATTACTTGTTTATGAATAGCTAAATGGCCTTGGACCTCAATACATTACAGATATGCTCACTAAATACAAACCTAACAGATCATTAGGATCAAGTCAATTAGAAATTCCAGGAGTACTGCTGGAATCAGCTTCCAGAAATGATCAGATGTGCTCCAACATTAGGCACATTCAAATCAAGACTGAAAACACATCTGTTTAGCTGTGCCTTTACTGAATGAGCACTGTGCTATGCCTGACACATCACACATTATGTCTTTCTTTTCTTTTTCATTCTTTTATAACTTGTTTTAACACAATTAAATCTGTTTTTATCTGTTTTTAATAATCTGTTTTCTTATACTTGTTTCTTTTATTCTGGTTCATTTAAAGCACTTTGAATTATCATTGTGTATGAAATGTGCAATATAGGCTAAATAAACCTGCCTTGCCTTGACATACTTTAGTATATAACTGTATTACATTTTTATAATGTTACATCTGCTTTGAAACAGACATGAAACAGACTGGGTGCGTGAAAGAGAAAATATCCCGCATAACACAACATAAGTAGTGATGAAGTATAAATAGCACAGCGCCAGTGTGCAATTCAGAGGGTTTGGTTTGGACCTTTCTAGTCTGCTAACTGCTTGTTTGTTTTCACGGTGCAGCAGTGACACCTATTGGTCAATAAGAGAACAGTAAGTAGCCTACAGCATGTCAAGTGGTTGACAACTGATCGCACGTAGAAATTCAGTTAAAATCTCGCATTTTTGTCATTCTTGCTTAACTAACCAAAAAAAAAAAAAAAAAAAAAACACTTTGCTACACTTTATTAAACGTCTTAAAGTAATATGTAGCCTAAATGTGTTTGTCTGGGGATAAAAGCATCAATAGATATCTTCACAAACGTTGAGTGAGCTCCTGCTCCAAGGAGGTTTTAGGTAGTCGTGAGATCACGGACAAACATAAACATGTCTTTTTTATTGACCAGTGGTATGTTTGTCTGAGAAGTTACTAAAAAAACATTCCTGGGCACATCAGCTGTCGGGCACCGGCGCCTCAGAGCCGCTTCCCTGGAATGCCGCACATCCAGACATTCTGCATGAACGCCAGTAATGTTACCAGCAGCTTCTAAAAAGGCCGGGGAACTTATAGTCCCTTTACTGTACGCCATGTGAAATTCATATGCATAGGCTATGTGAGAGTTGGTTTGAAGAACTTTTCAAATCATACTATGGCTAAGGAGTATGGTTCATGAATATTTATAACGTATTGTTAAAGTTGCTTAGTAACCTTCTGAGTGTTCCATCACGTGATCTTATTAATAAACATAAGCCATGCCTTCGCAAAGAAAGGCAATCGATTCTTTTCGAAGGAGAATAGCTTGTTTCTGCTAGATGGTCTGTCTAGTTATATGTAGGAATTGTTTTTTTTCTGTTTTATATCTAAAAAAAAATAAATAATTTATTTTTATTGTGCTACTTTATTATTACAATTTCTTATTTGTCTGAAAACAGACTAATCTGCAAATTGTCTCTTTAAGATCAGTATTGTTTTTATACATATACAGAAGATTTTTTTTCTGAAATCATGGCATTGGTGTTTTATAAAATGCAAGCCAACAACTGGCACTTTGGGAATAAAATAAATTTAAAATAAATTAAAAATTAAATTAAATTAAATAAATAAACAAATATAGTAAAAAATACAGGTAGAAAACTAAAAAGGCTCAACTAATACCGGGGCGACACAATGGCTCGGTAGTTAGCACTGTTCCCTCACAGCAAGAAGGTCGCTGCTTTGTTCTCTCTGTGTCCGTGTGGGTTTCCTGCGGATGCTCCGGTTTCCCCCACAATCCAAAGACATGCGGGTATAGGTGACTTGAATAAACTAAATTGGCCGTAGTGTATGTGTGTGTATGGATGTTTCCCAGTAGGCAACTTGGTTACGGCTGGAAAGGCATCCACTGTGTAAAACATATGCTGGATAAGTTGGCGGTTCATTCCACTTTGGGGACCCCAAATGAATCAAGAGACTAAGAAGCAGGAAAATGAATGGATGAATTAATTAATGGCCAAAATATATTATTATTATTATTATTATGTTTGTTGTTGTTGTTGTTGTTGTTGTTGATTCATTAATTAATAATTAATTACTTTTATTTATTATTGTTCATAGATCCTGGCTGAGTAAACACAACATTTCATTTTTTTGTGACTGTCCCTTTATTTTTACTTTTTAAATTTTAATTTCATGTATATTATGAATAAAAATATACAACCACAATAAGACAGATATAAGAGAGGAAAATACATTAACTGCAGAGAGAGAAAGACTAACAAAACAAAGAAGGGGGTAAGTAAATCACAATTGAACAAAAGTGTATGAAAATAAATAAATTAAGAGCATTACAGAAAAGCTATCTAACTCAAATCAGAATCAACAGCGACAGTTCTTCATATAGTACCAAAACTCGGACAGATTTTTGTTGTTTTGTTGTAAGATTTGAGCTGAGCGTCAACTTCAATCTGAAAATGTCGAGAATTTAGGATTGAAGCCATGCATCTTTGTTTATGCATGTAAAAATGTGACTGTCCCTTTAATCAAGAAATCAACCGCATCACCTTATCCCGCTTACTAACGTTCGCTTTGCAGCCAATCAGCTACCTCTAAGGAAGACCATCGTTACGTAATTAATATTCATAAGCCAAACCCTCACCGTAGTAGAATTAGCAACCCGTCGGAGACAGAGCGATGATGTCATATGTGAAAACTTAGCCCACTCCCCCTAGTGAGAGGTACTGATTAGTCTTTCACATAATTTTCTGCAGAAGTTTTGTGAAGTGACCGAGACACCGCGCGACCTGAAGTTTAGAAAAACTGTCGCACAGCCTCAGTGGACTGATTTTTTTCCTCCTTTGGAAAGTGAACATTGGACGTTCAATAACGGGACAGGCTTATAAATCGAGCCCATCACCCTGGACGGGCTGAAAAGTTTCAAGCGAGCAAAATGAACCGGAGTTTTAATAAATCACAATCTTTGCGTAGCTTGAACATGAACGCGGTGGAAGTGAAAAGCAAGGTGAGTTGAATGTGCAGCGAAAACTATTTTACGAGAATAGTTTAGTTGCAGAGTTACACGATGTTGTGTTTGGATGGGAACAGAAGGAATTGCTAACTTTGGTTAGCCCATGTCAGATTTATGCTATATGAGGTACTCGGATGAATCTTTGCATAATTGTGATTTTTTTTCATGTTTATTGAATCATTTTCAAATGTTTTCCTCTGTTGTAGATTATTATTTTGTAACTTCTATCTTCTCAAGTAGAATCAATTACGTTACAGAACAGCACTGTTTTTGACGCTGGAACTGTCACATCATTGAACAGTGTTTATGTTTTTTTATTATTATTATTACTTAAAATGTCCATAAGGACATTAAATTACTAAAAGGTTCAAGCAAATCTAGTTATAGCAATGGTCAGGATGCAGCATGTGGCTTTCAGATGGGATTTGTTTTCTGCTTGAGGTTTCGCGCTTCTCTCTGATGTTTTGTTTGTCACTCACAACAGGTCAGGTTAGGTTAAATACTGTCTTCATTAACAGCTATTCGAAAATAGCATCTAAACAACACAAGGGCATATTTACACATTTGACAGGATCAAACACGAGAGCTGATTCATTGGGATGGGCTCATTTATTTGTGTCCGTTGGACAAAGTGATATTTTGCTTCTTTTATTGGTTTACATGTTGCATATACAACCGGTTTACATTGGTGTTGCATTAATATCTATCTATCTATCTAGCTAGATGTATGTCTCTGACTGTCTGTCTGTCTTTCTTTTTGTCTGTCTCTCTGTCTATCTATTTATGTCTGCCTGTCTGTATATCTGCCCGTCTGTCTCTGTCTGTCTGTATATCTGTCTGTCTGTCTGTCTGTCTGTCTGTCTGTCTGTCTGTATACTTGTCTGTCTGTCTATATATCTGCCTGTTTGTCTGTCTCTGTATCAATCTATATGTTTGTCTGTCTCTCTATCTGTCTATCTATCTATATATGTCTGTCTCTCTGTCTGTCTGTCTATCTATCTCTCTCTGTCTATCTGTGTCTATCTATTTATATGGCTGTCTGTTTGTCTGTCTATCGATCTATATGTCTGTCTGTCTGTCTATCTTTTTGTCTGTCTCTCTGTCTATCTATTTATGTCTGTCTGTCTGTATATCTGCCTGTCTGTATATCTATCTATCTATCTATCTATCTATCTATCTATCTATCTATCTATCTATCTATCTATCTATCTATCTATCTATCTATCTATCTATCTATCTATCTGTCTGTATATCTGCCTGTCTGTCTGTCTGTCTGTCTGTCTGTCTGTATACTTGTCTGTCTGTCTATATATCTGCCTGTTTGTCTGTCTCTGTATCAATCTATATGTTTGTCTGTCTCTCTGTCTATCTATATATGTCTGTCTCTCTGTCTGTCTGTCTATCTATCTCTCTCTGTCTATCTGTTTATATGGCTGTCTGTTTGTCTGTCTATCAATCTATATGTCTGTCTGTCTGTCTGTCTGTCTGTCTTCAGAAACTGAAACTTGTATGTTGTATTTCTTTCAGTTTAAACACACATGACCACATTAACACACACACACACACACACACACACACACACACACACACACACACACACACACACACACACATATATATATATATATATATATATATATATATATATATATATATATATATATGGGTCAATGACGTGACGCTCATTTTTTTGTGTCCATGTCTTTTAAATAAATTCAAGTAGGTTACAGTTTCAAAATAAATAAGCAAATTACTTGCATACATTCTCTATTTTGAGGACCAAGTTTAATTTTTTGGTTTTAATCCATTTTAAGAAAATTTTTAGGGGATTATTGCAAGAATGTCAATGTGGTGTAACCAAAAAAAATTGGTACCAAATAGTTTACCTTGTTTAAAAAATGTGAAAGCCTCAATGAAACATTGTATCGGCTAGTCTGGCATAATTTTACATTAGACATATTTAATAGTAAATAAAGGTAAATATAGCACAATTGTTTTAAATATTATAATTCATTTGGGGAATTTTTTCTGTCACCTCAAATTTCTGAAATGTCAAGATGGTGTAACCACCATTTATTGAGCCATTTTGTTAATATTGTGCACAAGACAGTTAGACAGGAAATTGAATCACAGAGAAGAACTCTTGATAAGACTAATTGCTGCATGCAAAGGTTAGTAACTCTTTTTAAAATGTGAGATACTTTGACCTTTTTAAGGTATGGTCAGCTATTCTTAGATATGCATGTCAAATGGTAAGACCCCAGAAATGCACTGATAATTGTTCATAATTATAAAAATAAGTATTATATTTAAAAGTTAAATTTGAAATATTCCCACCAAGCCCATGTGCTTACATAGATGTTATTGATAATGCCTGTCAAATTTCATTTTAAGTTGAAATGTCAAGGGGTGTAACTGGTTACACCATTTGACTCATATAGCAGGAGTCTTTCTGTCAGGGGTCAATTTAGTCAAATATCATTAGTTCATGATGCTGATCAAAAATGCGACATAAATTAAACTACTATTTGTGTTCATAGTGTAGATTATTTATTTATTTTTGTTTGAGAAATAGGTGCTTAATCCACAACCTTACTATTAAAGCTCTGTAAACATAGGATAAAATTATTTTACTGCACAACATGAATGTTTTTTTTTTTTGTTTATGTTAATCCATGTTTATATTCACACAATATAATGTACACACTCTCTCATTCACACACACATTCATACACTACAGTCAATTTAGTTTTTCTAATTCACCTATACCGCAAGTCTTTGGACTGTGGGGGAAACTGGAGCTCCCAGAGGAAACCCATGTCAACTCCACACAGTAAGCCATCCTGGTCCATCTTGGACTCAAACCAGCAACCTTGTTGCTGTGAGACAACTGTGCTAACCACATCAGCCACTGTATCACCCTCCTTTGAAATGTTGTAAGTATTTTTTTTCTTCTTGAGAAAGTCTTATTTCTTTTAGTTTGGATAGAATAAAAGCAGTTTTTAAAATGTTTAAGCAGTTTTTAAGGTCAATATTGTTAGCCTTCTTAAATACAGAACAAACCACAGTTACCCAATGACTTGGCCAATAGATCTTACTTGCCTAATTAACCTAATTACATTTTTAAATGTCACTTTAGGCTGAATACTAATGTCTTACAAATTATCTAGTCAAATATTATGTGCTGTCATCATGGCAAAGATTACGGAAGAAATCAGTTATTAGAATTTAGTCATTTAAACTATTTTGTTTAGAAATGTGTTGACAATAATATTCTCTCTGTTAAAGAGCACTTGGGAATTTCTTTTTTAAATAAAAGAAAAAATTAACATGGGAAATGAAACAAGGTTGACAAGCCTCTATAGACTGAGTGCACACAGCCTTAAGTTTTGGAGGTTTTCATACTTGATGCGCTTGCTGTTGTACTATTATTATTAACAACTGGAGGTGCCTCGGAGGAACTTTAATGATGAAAAGTTGTGAAGAACAAGTCAGAAGTTGCCAAACAAATAAATTGCAGTTGAAATCAGTTTTGTTTGGTTTTTTTTACAGCATGTCTGATAAAAAATTTTCTTCTGGAGAAAGTCTTATTTGTTTTATTTAGGCTAGAATAAAAGCAATTTTTAAAAGCCATTTTGAGGTAAAAATTATTGGCCCTTTTAAGCTTTTTCCCCGCGATAGTCGACAGAACAAACCATGGATATACAATAACTTATCTAATTACTCTAACCTGCCTAGTTAACCTAATTAAGCCTTTAAATGCTACTTTAAGCTGTATAGAAGTGTCTTGAAGAATATCTAGTCTAATATTATTTACTGTCATCATGGCAAAGAGAAAATAAATCAGTTATTAGAGATGAGTTATTAAAACTATTATGTGTTGAAAATGTGTTGAAAAAATCTTCTCTCTGTTAAACCGAAATTGGGGAAAAAATAACAGGGGAGCTAATAGCTCAGGGGGACTAATAATAATTCTGCATAATTCTGAAGTTAACTGTATAAAATAAATAGTTTGTGGATAAGTTGTGGATACACTCATGAAATTATTTGTTGTCAGTCAGTCGTGTATGCTTACAAAAATTGGCCTTTAATCCCAGCACCAAGGCAACAACGAGTAAGCAGCAGTTCTTACGTACTAGTGATTTACGTACAGTGTTTGGCAAATTGTTTCTAAATAGCTTAAAAGTAAAATAGTGGATTTTTTTCTAATATCATCTACTTATTTTTATTTTAATTAAGCCAACTGAAAAGAAACAGTGATGGAAAAGGTGTTAAATGTTAAACATGTTTCTTTAGTTTGTTAATATTCTATTGATGAGGGCCACACATTTAATGTAAAGGATGTTATTACTTGGTGTATTAAAGTTCAGCAACCTGGTTTCATTGTTCTAAACACATTTGTCAATGACAATCCCACTGAAATTGTTGACTATCATTCTTAATTTGAATTGATTTTAATTGTCAATTTCAAAATCTTTGGCTGTAGAAGCAACACTGTCAGGTGGTGTAACTGGTTTTTGTCAATTGGTGTAACCAGTATTTTACATAAAAATATAATTATGTACATGGAAATAATGTGAAATTAAAATTAAAACACTTAGTTTAGTGTAATAAAATAGTTTTTAACATTTTTTACATAATTTGTCAAAGATTATTTAGAAACCAGAAGTGTTTTTAGCATGTGTCTGGCCGAATATTGCAAAAACTCATTAAAATGTACATTTAGAGATAATGCGAATACAATAAATGTTATTGTGGTATTTTAAAATGAAGTATTTATTTCAGTGTGTACACTTGCATATCATCTAGAAGGAGCAAATTTTTTAATATTTCACAATTTTTGGCAGTTACACCATTTGACATTTTCAGTTGCATTCAGTCTTAATGTCTGTAAAAAATGGTGTAAATGTTATTTTTAATTACATAAAATCAACATGAATACAATCTGTACATTTTAAAATATCTGACGGATGCTTTTAAATCAACTTTGTAAA